CCTCCTCACATCTGCAAAGGCCCGTTACCAGACGAGGTAACACATTCATAGGTTCTGAGGATTAGGAAGGGGACATCTCGGGGAAGGGGCATTATTCTACCACCTCCTCCTGGCTCTGACCTTCCTGCTGTTCCTCTACCCTAACAGGTGCGCGCCACCTCAAGGCCTCTGCACCTGCTACGGGCCTCCGCCAGAGACCTGCACAGCTTCTTTCTTCCCTCGTTCAGGTCTTTGCCCAAAGGTCACCTTCCCTGTGAAGTCTTCCCTGGCCGCTTACAAGGGCAGCCCCCACATCTGGGGGCACAGGTTTCTCCATAGCACACATCACCATCTGGAACACACGTTACTTAACTGCTTACAAGGGCAGCCCCCACCTCTGGGGGCACAGGTTTCTCCACAGCACACATCACCATCTGGAACACACATTACTTAACTGGGCGCTTACTAAAGGGGTAAATAACTGAAAGAGACGGAGAAACAAGTCCAACTTTTAAAAATTCAACACTTAAAAAAAAAACTGCATTGCTTTTATTTTCAATGGCCAGCTTCTGGCATGTACTGTCCTCAAGAGGCTCTGACTTTCTTATAAATACCAGTTCTCGCTTTCTGGGTTTTTTCCCCCCTTCTTTTAAACTTTTCAATTAGGGACAATTTCAAACACACACAAAATAAAGTGAGCAGCAGAAAGCGCCTCAGGACTCAGTCCCCAGGACTCAGTTCAAGCAATTATCAAGACCCTGCCCTTCTTCTTGCGGCCGGCTCCCCATCTTCTCCCAGAGTTGCTGTGTTTCAGTCACCCCCGTTAAAGGAGGCAGCCACGGTAACTCTGCGAATTAAAAGGAAACCCCTGAGGGGGCCTGGGCCCGGGGCATGTGTCCCTGGGAGATGGAGTCAAGTGGCAAAGGCCACTATTAAGGACGAAAGGAACCCTGCCAGCAGTTACCGGTTTTCAGAATCATTTCTGCTAAGAAAAATCAGTCTAGCAGCGCTTGGCTGTGGACTCCCAGCTTGAAAGACTCCATGAAGATCTTTAGCCATAACACCTCAGATTTTAGGTGCTTCTGTTTGGATATCTGGGAAGATCATGAGATCACATTTTCCTTAAAGCCTGAAATATCAGGGGTGCCTGGCCGGCTCAGTCAGTAGAGTGTGCTACTCCTGATTTCAAGGTTGTGAGTTCAAGCCCCGTCTCGAGTGTAGAACCTACTTAACAACTTCAAACATCATGATCTATCTAGTGTGGTGGGCTTTAGTTCCCAATTTATCTATTTTGGTATCACCTGCTTCTCGCTTACCAATTGTATCATACATCTTAAGCTGTTAACCTCCGTCTCTTCCCTTGTTCCTTTACTGCTCTCTTCATGCACGTTTTTCTACGTCTCACTTGAAGAATGTGACATTGTTACCTATGCAGCTAGATTTCTAAAATTTTACTTTAGCAAATATACATAAATAAAATGTGATACAAATGAAAATTAAAAAAAAGACCAAATTATAGAGATGAAAACAGATCAGGGTTGCCAGGGGTTAGGGATGGGGAGTGGCAGGGGTGACCAGGCCAGAAAAGGTAGCACAAAAGATCCTTGTGATGAATGTTGTAGACCTTTACTGTGTGGTCACACAAATCCACCACACCTGTGATAAAACTGCACAGAACTAAATTCACTCACAAGTGTACGTAAAACTGTGGAAATCTGAGTAAGCTCCGTGGACTGTACTGAGGTCAGTTTCCTGGCTTTGATAGGACTAGGTCGTTACGCAAGATATTGCCAACGAAGGAAACTGGGGAAGAGAACACAAGACCTCTCCGTACTATCTTTTGCAACTACCCATGAATTTATGATTATTTTTAAAGTTTTAAAAATGAAAGTCAGTAAATCCTAAAACTGTTACTCCTCAGAATTATTCATATTGTAATATAATAGCAGACTTACTCTTCCCATAAAAAAAAAAAACTTTCTGTAACTTTGAACTCAGTTTTGTAATTGTTATCCATTTAAAAATATTATCTTTTAAAGTGCCAGGGATCTTGTGGGCATGCACACACACCCACATACAAAACCATAAAATTATAAGTAGCAAAACGATAAAGCCGTCCAATGAATCGCCCAGTGCATAACTTTGTTTACTACAAGTCACACTGTTCTCAAGACATTTCGGCATGGAACACTCCCACAAGGACACTAAATCCCTCGAGGGACAACTATGGATAGCAAGGAGCTAGAAAGGTCAGCAGCAAAGGTATACAAGGATCACAGGACTTTCTTTCTGGAAGCACACTTTCTTTCTGGAAGCACAAAGCCTACAAAGCAGAAAAAGAGGGGATGCAGAAAGGAGACAAAGTCAAAGCAAAATCACTTCTCCAGCACAGTTCGTGGCATAATTAAATCTCAACAAGTCCTTCCCGATCTGGGTTCCTTACTGTTAGTCAGTTACCAATTTGGCATACAGATCTAAGCAAACAGGTTTTCTCCAAGGGCACACAAATAGTTCACAGTGCCAATTCCACTAGAACTGGCCCAATTTCACTAAAATCCCAAGGTGGCTCGATTAAAAGAGAAAAGAGACAGACAGGGACAGACAGAGCAAGCCCCCTCTAAAATCAAATCATAAAGCAGCAGGACATTCCACTCAACAGAAGGACTTTTTCCCAGTTTCAAAAATAAAAACACCCCAAGAAACAAATGAAAATGCTACTCATCTTTATTACTTTGCAGTTGTATTGTAATGCTCGAAAAAACAAAGCCAATTCTAAAGATCACTGGCTGCCCATGGTCACCTTCATGAAAAGGCACTATTAAAAAAAAAAAAAAAAAAAAAAAAAAAAAAAAAAAAAAAAAAAAAAAATTCTTGGCTTCATAGACCAGAGCCACCGGAAGGGTTCTGCTTAAGAATCTTTTCTATTCATATACGTGTGCTCTAAAAATTAGATTGAAAGGAAAAACAAAAAACAAATCCAACTGGCCAAAGAGAGAAGAATTCTGGTGGACAATTGGACCACTGTGTTGCAAATGAAACCGTTCACACCTGCACAATAATCTCACCAGCATAACGAATCTCTCCTGAAACGCAGCCCCCTTGTACCAAAAGGGGGATCTCTTCTTCCACCAGATCCTATCTTTCACCGATAAACTCTTTGGATGAGAAAACCAGCAGCAGACGTGAAAGCCACATGGCCCTCTACAAAGCGGGGGAGCAAAAAGCAATGTTAAAAGAAATGATTCCTTGAACAGCAGCTCCCTATCAAGAGTGAAGATTTTATCATCTAATGCGGACTTTGTGGAAAACAGCTAGCTATTAGACCCTGTTCCAAGACTTCGGCTAACAGCATCAGGCTGAAATCCAGGAGTTGGACTCATTTAGCTACACCCTTGTTTTCAACTCTCGGGAACAGGGCCAAAGTGTAAAGTTAGACTAGAACAAATCCAATTTCCAAGGGAAAGAAGAAGATGATATAGGTACTCTTGCTTAATGCGACTGATAGGCTCCGAGCATGGTTTACGTTTCAGTCCGTTTTTATTTAGTGAATTTTAGCCCTGGAATAATTCCTTCCATCATTCCTAAAGATTCCAGACTCTGCATCAAAAAAAAAAATAGTCGCGAACACCCCCACGTAATGGTGTGGCAGTCAAGAACCCTGTAAACTTTTTCAAATTCGTATCTAGGTAGAAAATTTTGATTAGGCAAACTGCTTCATAAAAAAATAGCATAAGCCAGAAACTTTTAAAATTGCCTTGTATTTTCTGTGACTTCACGGAAGTGCCAGAGTAGCAACCTCCAGAGTCTAAATCTGGTCACTAGAGTTTATACCTCTCAAGCTGCCGTAATGTTTTTAACTCCACGTTCTTGGTGCTTTGGGGTTTTTTTTTGTTTGTTTGTTTTTTACATTTTTTAAAGTTTATTTATTTCAGTAATCTCTACACCTAACGTGGGGCTTGAACTCACAACCCCGAGATCAAGAGTTGCATTCTCTTCCAACTGAGCCAGCCAGGCATCCCTGGATTTTTAGTACCACTCCATTTTACCTAGCTCTTTCTTTTAAAGGTGTAGACACGTATGTAAAATGCAGTCTAGAATCCAGGGGTAGGAAATGGTAGCCATTAGACAAATTAATTCTTTGGGAGTTATGGACAACAGATACTCTTTCTCCTGGGAAATACAGTTATCCATGAAAGCCAAATGGTCAGCAATCATATATTTGTCTTTGGAGAAATTATACTCTTTGCCAAAAAGAGGTGAACAAGAGACCCAATTTAATGGCATAAACCTTTGCCTCTCCAAGTGTGGCCAAAGCCACGCTGACATAACCTGGTTCGGAACGCAGAATATGAGTCCCACTCCGGACCTCCTGAGTTGGAATTTGCATCTTATCAAGATCCCCTGTGATTCACGTACACAGTGAAGTGTGGCCCGGACAGTATCTGCCACCGTGCCACCCCACGGGCGTATGCCCCAGAAGGCAGGAGATGGGGACACCGATTTGCAATTCCCTCAGCGGGTGTCAGTTCTCAGGTGCCTCGCACCTCACTGAGTGAGATTCTAGTGTTTAAAGGGCAATTTGAACTCTACGCCTAAAACGCGACTTCGCGGTTTTGTCCCCAGGCTGACCCTCAGCTCCCAACCCAACGACTGGCTTGATCCGACCAAGGGCTGGCGGCATCTCTGCATTAAAAACAGCGAGGACATGAACAGCTCAGGCTAGCTCGAGAAGCATAGCACAAAGTCGTCGGTCACGAGCACACTGCCACAGGCCAACCCTACGGAGACTGCGGGGGAACAGAGCTCTTGAGCAGACAGTCACAAAGAGACAAACACCAACTGGAGATGTGGAGCAGAAGCCTCAGGTTCAGGGTTGCTTTCCTTCAAGCAGAGTGGCTACTTGATTCCTTCCTTCTTTCAAGTCTGCAGTTCTGGGAAGTCACGTTCTGTTACCCAGGAGCTTCCTATACTTTTGTCTCGCGTGGAAGTAAACCTTGAACACCAGTTTAGTGGCTGCTTACCTGTGCACACCTTCCCAGGTCTTTCCTGTCCAGATACTGAAATATGTTGATTGCCAGTTCGTAAGGCAGCTGGATGTCAAAGAAGGGCACGTCATCCATTTCATTCTGAGGAGAAGAAAAGGGAAAGAAGCTTACAATTCGGAGGAATGAAAATGCTCCTTTCGATGACAAGAGATATCGTGAGGTGGGAACGAGAGAGGTGCTGTCGTCCCGGGGGGAGCCACGCAGTCTCACGACTCCACGGGGCAGTCACGGAACGGACTCACAACCGGACGGCCACGAGCCCACCCTCCTCACTCTTCACTTGTAAAATCCGCAAGGCCACTTCCCATAAGACTTCACAAAGGAGAAGCAAGGGCGCCAGCTGACAACCTGGGGTCTGGGAGAGGTGGACGCCTCGGGCATCCGCTCACAGGCTGCGGGAAGCTCTTGGCCTCTAAGGGAAGCTGAGCGGTGTATAGCCAAGAAGGTGAGCTTTGAAATCGGACGGGCCACCGGTCCCCCCAGGACAACTCTTACTTCACCCCCACCCCCCGGAGGGCAGCGAGCACCCGCAGCCAAAGAAGCGCTGACCGAGGTAGGTCACTAAGGGGCCTCCGTCAGGGGAGTAGGGCTATGAACGGGGGCGAGAAGTACACAGACGAAATGCTGCTCCTGAAGGAGGTGAGCACCGCCTCCCTTCCGCCGCTGGAGAAGCACAGGGTTTCCTAATGCACTCAGGGGCCCCCACCGGTGAACCTGAGGGAGCCAGTGCAAACAATGCAGATCTTCGGTGTCATTTATTAATGTGGAGAAATGAGAGCTCGCCTGCCTTTGGATAAGCAATTAGGGATGAGGTAACAGGCTTTATTTGAGAGATAAGGCTGTCATGACGATCCTGGTAGCACAAAGGAACGGGAGGGTGAAACACAAAGAAAGCCAAGAGTGTATGTGTTCCTCTCTGCCTGTTCCCAAATCCACCTGCTGAAGTTCACTTTTGTACATATTTCTGCAAAGCTAGGCAAAGCAGGCTGTTGGTCTCAATGGAACTTAATAAAATTCATTTTTAATAAGCTCTGGCTGACATCAGTGACTTGTAGGTTGCCAGCGAATTCGTAATTCACCGAACACAACGGTCCTATACCGCAAGCTACAGTCTGAAAGCTGAAAGTCATCTCGGCATTTTTAAGGGAACGTGAGCACTGATTTAGACCCGACCAAGATCCAGGGTAAAGATTTTTCTGGATCATGTTTCCATTCATCTAGGAGTGTCAGAGCTAAAAGATAACGTGAAGGCCTAAGAAGGAAATGTGTTGACTTTGCAACAACAGTGCAAGGCTGAGTACGAGGGCCAAAAAGGAGCTCTAGAGGGAACAGAGCAAGAGCTGACAGTTCTCTGGGGGGTGGCAGAATGTGGCCGGGCACAATGTGAAACCGGCAGAGAGATGTTGGCCATACAGGGGGAGACGGAAAAACAAAACGGGAAAAAATCTGCAAGTGTAATCAGCAGGCGAAGGGGTCCCGCCTAAAAACATAACGGAAAGTCATTAGTCTGATGTCAGGCTAGGTCCCCTCTTACAGCTAGTCGGCTTCATTCGTGAGGAGAAGAGGCAGCTCTCTCTCACTTGCCCCAGATACAACTGGAGACTCCTTCACACAACCCGGTGGGGGGCGGGGGGGGGTCACCCACTGCCAGCTGAGCAAAGCCACACACGAGCCAGCCTGTCATTTGTGACCCTGGAGTTCCCTCTGCTTTCTCTTGGATTACTGGACCATGATAAGGTGAAGGAGCCTACTTTACCTCCTTGGTAGAGAAACAAGGGAAAAATGCTTATCCTTCCTTAACCTCATACGAGAAGGAGGAAGGCCAACACAAGCCTGCACTCGTGCAAAGTGAACTCCTGTTGAGCTTTTCACAGTTAGAGATGCCAGGCATCACTTTCTTCCATCGGTCCCCCCTTCGGGACTATCAACTGCTTTCTGGATGTGACACTACCGTAATGAAGCAGGACAAATCGCCTTTGTTTTTAGTTATCCTAGGACAGAAAATCACACTTCTGGTGGCGGGAGGCTTCCCCCTCTTCTGCTCACTGAGATGGCCAATCCTCCCTCCTCCCGGAGAACGGCGCCTCTGCCCTAGCAGAGCCACAGCCCTGCCGCCTTCCTCCTTGATCCCAACCACGGTGACCTCTGAGATGGAGGTTCAGGACCAAGGGTCAATCTGATAACCTTGGTTCTGCCAGTTGAGTAACCACGTGACTACGCTAAATACATCCGAGCCTCGGCATCGTCTCTAAAGCAGAATGTACCTACTTGGGAGAGTTACAAGAATAAAGCGAAACGGTACACAGGAAGGGTGTGGGCGGGCCAAGTGCCAGAGCAAAGCATACAATACCTGATTAATACTGCCATCTTCCTTCCTGGAGTGGCACCCCAGCTCTCTTCTTCCCCTTCAACAAGTATTGGCTGATTAGGTCCACATTCCATGGGGCTCCTCTACGTGCTGTTTACACAGAAAAGCGGTCTCCCCTGTCCTACCAGAAGCAAAGGACAGCTGGCGACAGTGGAGAGGGGAAGTCACGTGGACATGAAGTTATTCAGGAGTCTGAACGATGGGAGTGTCCATACAACAGGTCTTTTTCCAGAGAAACTTTCAAAGAGAATCACCAATTTTAAAAGGTTATACCACGGTAATAACCAAAGAAGGATCTGCTTTAGTGCACAGTGGAAGACAACAGTGTAGCCACCACCGAGAGCAGATGACCAGTCAGGGGTGTAATGTCCCTCACGCCAACAAATTAGCTGAGATGCCATGCTGGTCTCACTGTTAATGTACCTGTGATGATGCGTCTTGAGAACTGAACTTCACAGCAATGAATTATAATTATATAAACACAAACATTACAAAGCCACACTTAAAAATCACTGTGCTCCGAGAATTACAACGTCTAAACTCCAAAATGACTGTCAACCCCCAACAGATCAGATTCCAGACTCATGTGAACAACCCTCCCTGTTGCTACCACTGGTTGGGGAATGGCAGGGAAGGAAAGAAACCGATGTGCTAAAGGAAGGTCCACCTCTCAAGACCTACGGAGACCCGCAAGGTCAGGAGATCGAAGGCTGAAGTTTCAGGCTGCACACTTGGAATCTTTTTGGCAAGATATTTTTATCACCAGTCCGTGTAGTGGATGCTGCAGGGGTCACTCAGACTCTACCTGTGGGTCCCTAACACCCATTCCCCCAGATGGGCACAATGCCTCCTGCTCATGGCTCACTGGCTCAGCCTGACAGCAGAGTCCCTTCCTAGGCGGTGCCCTTGGTCAAACAAGCTGCCTTGTCCAAGGCTACATCCCCTCCTGGAGCCCACATCCAGTGACCAGTCAATACCTAGGGACAAAGGCTTGGCCCCCTTGCCTCAGTTCGGGACTTCTGGGAAAGGCCAACCTGCTCAACTGCCTGCCCGCAGATCTCCAACCCAGAATCGTTTCCCGAAAAATCCAACCTGTTTTCCCAAAGCAGCAGATGTGATCCAGGACAGTCCTGTACTGAGCACATTCCCAAAGGCTCTGCTGCACAACTGTGGAGACAGGAGCGTAGCTAACCCACTTCCCTTTCCTCCACTCGAGGAAGTGGAATGAAGTTATAGGGACATTATGACACCCAAAAGACAAAACAATCCAGAGTAGATTCAAGGTTAAATAAGTCACTCATAACTGTCGCTTTGTTATTAGTAACCCATCACTTGGGAAACACCTTACCAAAGATTGAGAGTTAGAAGCATGTTTGACCCTGTGGATGAAAACGCAATTCTCTTCTAGGGATCCAGGATTTGACAAGGATGTGGAGCCACATCCTGGACAGAGGTACTAGCCCACTAACTACACACAACCTACCAGGACTTAAGCACTCCCATCTGGCACTTCCCACAGTTTAGAAACAGAAGTAAAAAACACCATTTGCTACCAGTATGCAGAGAAATACCTTATAATATAAAGGATGCTAGGAGATTTCCACCTAGGCCTTTCTGAAACACACAGCCATCTGAAAAGTTATAGGCCACATGAACCAATTTTGTATCTATATGAACTTTCAAACATGGAAAGGGACAAGTTGACATTTCAGAAACAGAGATATCCCAAGAATGAAGAAATATTAACGTGGAAAACTGGTCACATTACAAAAAGGGCCACAGGACTACAATGTTTAGAGAGAATCACTTCCTGTTAATTTTATAGCCCAAGCAACGTGACAATGGCCAATAATGCTACAGAAAACTAATATATTGATGTATTAACATGGTTTCGAATTTGAGGAAAAACATCATGTGGATAAAACACAACTGGGCTTTTAACTCTTTATGGCTCAAATATTGATTCTTTACCACTATGGTGACTCTTGTCCTGTATTACATATCAAGACCATCTGTAGAGTTAAAAAAAAAAATGCCCCAAATTGCCTATTACTCCAAATTTCCAGGGGTGAGGCTCGAGTAGCTCTTCCTCAGGGATCCTCATGCACACTAGAAGTTGAGAACCACAACCCTAAATCATAGGTGGATTAAAAACAATCCTTTCCCACTCAAGCAAAAAAAAAAAAAAAAAAAAAAAAAAAAAAAAAGAAAAGAAAAGAAAACCCACACAAACCCCACAAAGGGCTCATGTTACTTTGTTAATTCAAAGTCAGTGAACAGTAGATTTTCCCAAAGTCTACTGGACTTCCTCCAAAAATGCTAAAAGAAATTGCAAACAGATCCATCCCCGGGGAGGCTGATTTGTACTCCTATGTGCTAATGTAAGACTAATTCTGTAAATGGATTGGTTTTGTGCCTTACTGTTAGAAATTTAATCTGTCTTCTCTGGTTTAGAAGAAGAAGGGGCAATTATTAAGAGCCAAAATCAGTGAGAAGTGAAGAAACGGACTCCACGTTTGTCCCCAGTGGACATCTCCAGGGCAAACAGAACACTCCAGATCTCTCTAGGTGGTGTCCAAAGGAACAGAGAAGAACACCTCAGACACACAACGGACATAGTAGTATTTCTGCTCCATCTGTGGCTGACAGGACACTTTTCTAAAGGAATTTCTCTCCATTCTCTGCCTCCTGCAAACATGGAGTACAGCAGGACCACACAATCCCAACCAGAACAGAGGAGTGCTGGGTTCACCCGGGTCTTCTTCCAAAAAAAGAAACAGGGTCTGAAACACCATCCAGATAAATAGGCATTTGTTCACAATCCCACAGTGGTCTTGAAATACAAATTCTTATTCGTACCAAAAAAAAAAAAAAAAAATGCCCAAAGTACACAAAATAAATGTTAGCAGTAGTCGCCTTTGAGCAACGGCATTACAGGATTTGTTTTCTTCTTCTTCTGAAACCCCCAAGTATTTTTACAATAAGTTTGTGATATTTTCGCAGACACAGCAAA